TTAACGCTTAATTAGTGGTGCCACAATCACACCGTATCGCACTGTACACTCAGCATAGAGGTACAAAAACCTAGAGTATTTACTAGCATAAGATGACCTTTTTGTTAATTATATAATTACATCTTTCAGTACAGGTTGAATTTGTAAAAGAACACCACATAATATTTTTTTACAGACTGATATTTTAAGAACAAAAAGGAACAGTGATTATATTTGACTTAACAAATAGTTACCAAAAAAGGTTGAGAATACAGCTACCTAAACAGGTAATAATAATAATAAGCATAGCCATATTGAAACCTAAATAATTCTTCACCCTAATTAATAATAACAATAACAACCATAGATTGTAAATGAATAAATCATAATATAAAGAGAAAAATTAATCAGATATATGTGATAACTGAATACAACTAGTTTAATGATCATTTCTAATTAACTCAGCAATATCTGGAGAAAAAAAGTACAATGTCACTAACCAACTCTTCCATTGGAATCTCCCTGGAAAATAGGGGACTTTGAAAAAAAAGGAATATTATAGTAGTTAGGCTACTTTCATAAAATAACGATTGAATGATAATTGTCACCTAGTCTCTTTCTAATCAGATCTGCTTAATATTATCAATTACCTGGACATCTTGATATTCAATTTGAAGGTTTGTTGGGATTTATTTATAGATTTCAGGTTGGTATTCATCATAAACTGACATCAGATGGAGAAACACTGAAAACCTGAGAGCACTAGCCAGCTATTTCGTCCTAGTATGGGAGTCCTCACAAACCTCTAGACTGAATTAATCTACTAGTCATAAGCGATTCACTTCCACACGTGATTTCCGAAGATCTTTTGAGAAGTCCTGACCAGTAAGGCCCACCAAATCGGACATGAGAACAGTTACTCAACCATAGCAATGGATACAGGTCACACTATATCGTGAACGGACAGAAGTTGAAAATATTGACCACTGGATTCCGACCCAGTGGCGTAATGGTTATGTGCTGACCGTGAGACCTGAAGACGCCAGAGTCCACATCTCAAGCAGTCACAGGTGACCACTGATGAAGGGTAGCATACCACAACAAAACAGTTTTCAGTGCTACCAGGTTGCTAATGTCTCCCCAAACCAGGAAAGTCCATGGTGAAAACTAACCACACATCTTATTATGTTTCTGCACTTATCCATCCAAATCAACATACGATCAGGCACTACAGAGTAGCGGTCTCAGTACATCAAGTAAAAAAACAGTGAAGTGCAAGATAAAGAAAAGTCAGTCAAAAATATATATAAAGTAGGAGAAGAGAGAAAAGAAAAATGAAAAAAGGTGAGATTCGGTATAACGCTAAGATGAGGATAATGTGCGCATACATCTGCACCACTGACATACCTTCTCAGCCATATCACCTACAGTTTATAAACACTGGTTTCGCTTCTCTCGTACACATCAATCGCTTAGTCTGCATCGCCTTCATATGACTAAGACCAACAGTCAAACACTTCATACATTCATGCCATCTTTCAGTCTGGTCGACAGCCACCAATCTTCTTAAAGTCTGAACCTACTTCACCCAACTCTGTGTGACGAGACAATCGGCGACTAGGCATACCTGCCACCTAACACATGTCCCAACCATCTCAGTCGATGAAGCTTCACAACCTTCATCAACTCACCTACTGACTTACCTCTTCTCCCTAAAACACTACTCCTGACTTCTGTGTTATTCATGCGGTGACACCACGGAATACGGTATACACTACGAAGGTAATGGTGGTCAAACACCTGAAGCCTTCTCATATTTCCTACTTTCAATGCCTATGTTTCACAGCCATACAGTAAAACAGAGCAGACTGCTGTGCAGGTGCAGTACACGCAACCCTCAATAGACAATCGGATATCATGGCGGCACCAGAGGCGGCGTCAGTTGGCATAAGCCATGCGAGCCTCCATATATGGTTCAGAGACTTCGCGAGTCACGAATGGCACTTCCAACAAACTACAGACACTCATCAACAGCTGTCTACTTTCAAACCGGAAGATCAGATTAGGTGGCCAGAATAATAAGGATAAGCAACAAGCAACTCTGGCTGGCAACAAACCAACTAACAAATATGCAGAAGAAAGTGGAGATGGATTGGATAGGGCACACACTGAGAAGACCGTTCGAGAATATCACGTACCAGACCAGGCCGTCAGGTGGAACTCAAATGGGAAACGACGAGTTGGGCGTCCGAGCCGAGAGTGACATGGACGAGTTCATATGAGGAAGGAATGAAAGCAGTCGTGGAGCGAGGTTCAAAAAACTGTAGAGAAGGGAGTGAAATGGCGATGTGCTACTGAATCCCTATGTCCAACTAGGAACCCAAGGGAGAAACAATAATAATAGAAATAATAACGAGAAGTTTAAGTACAAAGTGTGCTGTGTTGATAGCATATGCAGTTATATCACTCATTATCCACTCACTGTTGTTTATTGCTAACCAAGTGAGATAATGCTCATGAACCTTTATGGATAAATGTTACATAATGCAACTTACATACATGGCTCCACAAGACAGAAGACTACATGTGCATATATAGTCAGGTGTGATAGTTTTCTCTTTCAAGTTGCTAAAAAACACACTAGATGATAGGAGAATACTAATCTCACAGTGTTGATTTCACTACACCCCAGCAATACTACAATAGTAACCGCTGTTGACATATTTATCAGTCAAATTAAAAGAAAATAAACAAAGATTGTTGATGCAAGGTATTCCTAATGGAGCTTGATACATCGAAATCCTCTCCAGTGAGATAATCTATGTAGCTCTCCATTCCTTAGTGCTCAGTGTTGATAGAAGTCTATTTATTGATCAAGTTTCTCATACAGCTAAATAACACTAAATTGCGATAAATTGTATTTTGGTATCAGATGTTATGAGTCAATCGACAGATAATGACTACCAACAAGCTTTTTGCAAAATTACGGCTAACATTTAACACAGTTTGACATTCTCGACCTCAGAAAGTTAGATGCACACCTATCAAAGAAGCTTAGATTCACAGAGTATTTTCATCCACAGAGGTAGTGCTCACGTTCCGGAGATTCCGGATCTATGTCCAAATCTAAGTATCTTTATGCAATTCCTGCCATTTACTAATCAACCATATTTGACGAACCAATATTTACAATCAAATACTACTAAGACGAAAAAACTAAAATTTTATCATTGTTCAGCTCTAAGAAAAAGTCTTGTTCTGAGTTGTGACTATGCAGACAGACATCTGACGCTGAAATAAATCTGTGTTGTCGGATCATAAGAAGCGTTTAGGGTGGTATTCATCATGAACTGACATTACTGGGAGCACCACTTAAAACCTACACCGCTAACTGACAGAAATAAGAAAATGCCAATCATTGAACTGCGACAAAGCGACAAAATGGTAATTTTCTGACACACTGATTTTCAGTAGTTCCGCAACTGATGTCAGTTCTTGATGAATATTACCTTGAAACAAAATTGATCCACACAAACCTCAACAGTGACACTTTTAACACAGGTTTCCAGAAATTCTAAAGAAAAGCCACCACCAGAACTGCAGGTTCTCCAACTTTGAACTCCAACCCACTGACTCAATGGCAACAAGCTACCCAAGTAACTATAGCTTATCAATAATTCTCCAACTCATGACAGTCTGTCATCATTCCCAACGTCAAAATATTTCAAATCAAAATATAAACCTTCAACTATACTACAGATATATCATGAAAAACAAAATGACTGAAAAAAGAAAAACTCAGCAATCATTCACGGTGAGTCAAAAATCACCAATCAAAAATCTACTGCTACAATTAAGTACCATTCTCGATAAAATTCTCTACAGAACTATCAAAAATGATTCTTCAGCATTTAAGGCACACCGAAGTGATATCTGCATTTTTGGTGAGGACTCTGAATTTATACTAACTGAGATATCCATTAAGTCATTTTCAATTTCACATATTGCATACACTTAGAACGTAGAGAAGAAGGAGGTGATGAAGATACCCAACCAACAACAGCATTAACAACAAGCACCAATCACCATCAATGGAGAAGTTCAAAGGAGGTTGTCTCTCACCTACACCTACTCACTTAGCCCCATACCAAGATGAAACAGCTGTCCAGTTCTTCCAGCTTTCGAATGGTTCCCCCATCTGGTGTCAGTCCATGATGAATACTACCTCAGAATAACTTTATGTGAAATGACTATTCCTCAAATTATAAGCGTGAACTGCAGTTTCTTAAAGGCGAAATTGAGTTGTTACTGAGAAAAGTTTTTAAGAATTTCCCGAATGCTTGAATCTTGAATACAGTTTAGGTCCGGATAGCGTGTCTGACCGACTACCACTGTGACTTGCAAAATACATCTTCTTTGTTGACAACACTTTACTCTGCATAAGACTCTAAATAATATACATTTCGAAATAAACATGAGACAGAAAAAGAATTTTAGTCATGACGTTTAGTTCTGTTTACTACAACCATAACTGACTCACAAACTGAAAACATTGACGAAGAATCTCGCACACAGGTGCATCGCCTAAAATTCCCACACTTCACAGTAGTATATAAAGAAAAGGTAGATAGAAAAGACTGATATCAAAGAAGATAAAAGTGTCAGAGAATAAATAATGAGGATAAAGGTTAGTACGAATATTCATGCTCTGGAAGATGTCAAGGAGTAGAATATATCTGAGCCATTGTGACCGATTTTCAGCCATGTTACCAAGTGTTCTCAACCACTGTTTTCTTTCCTCGCAAAGACCCCACCCCATACAGGTAGTCTAAATCTCACCAAACGGCTCAAACCAACAATAAGAGACGTCATCGACTGGTGGCAGGTCTTAATCTGGCTACCCTGAACCCACTTCCAAATTAATCCAGCTTCCCCAACCATTGCACGTCGACCATAAACAAAGATAGGAAAACGGGTAGAAAATAGGTAAATGAAACCACTACACACAATAAGCAACTTACAATAACTGACTGTCAATTCAGAATTACGAATGGCTTGATTTACCGTCGATTCACTTTCTCGAATAGAATCATCTTCTACTGCTACACGACTAAACATACCAATAAGTGAATCTAAATCCATATTTCCTGCCTTTTTCTGAACAGAATTTGGAGGATTATCGGTTGCATCACTTCCTGCAGTTGACTGAAATTCTTTAGGACAAAATGATTGCTTTACATCACTCGAGTAATTTACAACTTCATCGTTTACAAAATTGTCATCTTCATTATCATGATGAGGTTGATCTTGTTGTATAGTTATACTGTTCTGTAATCTATTAGTGGTCGGTATGGAGTAAGATGACCACTCAGGTGAACTATCTCCCCCACCACCAGAACCACCGCCTAATGCTTGATTCAATACACTATGATGTCTCCATGGTGAATAGGTTGTTGTTGTGGTAAAAGATTTGTTTAACAATACAGAAGGTTGATCCATTGATTGATTTAAAAATTCAGTAGTACATGTTGTTGCAGTAGCCAGAACTTCTTTAAACGACTGAACATTATCTAAAGCTGGAGCAATAGTATCAACGGTCTTAGTAACAATAGTATTAGTAACAGGATAACTAAATGGGAGAGATGTTACTTTATTAGTTTCTGTTATTACTAGTGATGATGATGATGAAAACGGAGATGACAAAGCTGATGACATAGCTGTGTTGATGAATTCCCCACTGACTAAAGGACTAATCAAATGACCTATTTGATTATAACATGATGTATTATTGTCATCACTTGATGTTGGAGTTATTGAGCTGATGGACAAAAGACAAACGAAAGTAACAAAAGTATAGATAATTAAAATAGAAATCATGTATAAAGAAGAACGAAACACTGTTCAGCAGAATGTGAAGAGTATAACTAAATACCGAATTATCTCACCTATTAAATGATGTGGTGGTGCTTCTAATAATGACATTCCCCTCTCTTTATTTCTAAGTATCATCTTGTTAGGTTAGCATCATCACATTACAGCATACGGTTGTGACTGTGTAGACATACAGCAACCCAAAATAAGACTGACTAACTCTCAGAAATCTAAGCAATTCCAATAACTACATACATTAATGATGGATAGTGAGTTAGCAGTAGAATCCAGGACGCGCTTCTCATCCTATTTGGGACTCGTCAGTTGGACGTACCTGCTTCCCAGTGAGTGATGTTGTTCCCTCTGGGACTCGAACTAGGGGCCGATCCTTCAAACGCCAGAGCGTTATCTACTAGACCACTGAGCCACAACAACCACTTTTTGTGTGACGAGTATAGCTTTAGTGTTGTTGCTTGTATTATCCCATCGTTGACTGGCCTGAATTGATTCCAATAACTATTCAACCTACACCGTCCGGAAGATTAAAATAACTATGAAGCATAGGTTACACTAGGATCGCTCATGACTAAAAAGAAACACGTAAATTCGAAAACGTTTTTAGAGGAATGAGATTCTAGCTTATCGCCGAAGACAACCGATTCTAGTAGAAGTGCAGTAATGTTCATCGGAAGCTACCCCATCTGGTGACTGTACAATAAACGGCCAACTAATACCACACCAAACAATGCAGAAAAATTATCAAAACAAATTGTACTACAGTGTTATGTCACTGTCAACTCAATGGACAAATAACAAAATTGACCAACAAACGACGGTCAACATTTATTGCACAATAATCACGTAAGATACTGTGTCGTTGAAACTTTAAGTATATAGTAAACTTATTCCTTATCTCAATGTACGAAAGGAGGTCACCTGATTTTAACCTTTCGCATTCTGAATAATGACTTTGGTATGGAGTTATTAAACTTCTTTACTCCCTTCCACGACTCATCACTTCAGACGACATAAATAAAAAAATCCCAAACCTGCAGTTAAGTCATACTTGAGTACAGTACAAGTTCCTTTCACAGACTATTCAATGACTACAACTCGCTACTGAAAAAGTAGTACCAGCTCCTTCACTGATCGCATTCAAAGGGACACTAATCTTTCAAAGAAACAATTATTGCAAAGGTTAACACAACCTAATAGCCTACAATCCCTTTCACTGAAGACTGAATCAAATCTATAGTATTTATTACTCCTATTATTATTACCATGAATTTTTTTCCCTTGGGTTTCTAGCTAAACATAGAGATTCAGTAGCACACCTCCATTGCACTCTCTTCTCTGCAGTCTTTTCAACCTCGCTCCACTACTAGCCACAAACTTTCATTTCTTCCTCATATGATCTACTCCACGTCACCCTCAACTCGGACGCCAACTCATCGTTTCCCCTTTCGATTCCACTTGACTGCCTAGCCTGCTCTGGCGCGTGATGTCCACAATCGGCCTTCTCAGTGTATGCCCAATCGATCTCCACTTTCTTCTGCATATTTGTTGAATGATACGTTCCTGGTTGGTTCGTTCCCACAGTTGCTTCCTGCTTGTTCTTTTTGGCCATCTGATATTCAGTATCGATGGCAGGCAACTACTGACGAATGTCTGTAGTTTGTTGGAAACCCATGTCTTTAACAAATACTATCTGTCAACAGACTCATACATTTTGTTCAATTATTAAGAGTTATTACTCAATGGTAAATCATACTATCAATAACCCCCACAACAGTCAATACCATTGGGTTCCTGTCGTTAGCGACGAATGATGACCCAAAACAAAACTCACACAACACAGTATCAGTTACCAAACAATAGCATATATGTAAGATTAGGAAGTTTAAAAATTTTACAATCATTTATCATTGACATTAGAGATTTCGAGTTGCACAATTTGATCACACCTACTATGCCTAGTTAACGAATGCACTAGTTACTAGCCGGTCCCTTAAACCCCATAAAGAGGGAAGCTTCCGCATACAGATACCAACCCTACCCCTACACCTACCCCTAACCCCCAAAACCAATACAATCCCTAAACAAACTTAAAACAACAAACAAATTATACAAATTAAAAACAAACTTATTCCTCCCTGGAATCCAATCGGGGAGACGAAATGATCACCCACTGGTGAAAGACTTCACCAACCCAGTCGGCCGATGTGTCTTCACCTCCATCGATGACAGCCAAAGTAAGATTGGGGACATACAATGTCCACACCATGTATGAACCTAGAAAGGCTACCCAAATTGAGAAACACATGATGAGGTACATATGGCATGCAAGTGATAGGATAGGAATCTTCGAGGAATCTGCAGATGGAATGCAAGTGCACTCTCCTAACTGTCAACTGAACTGTCAATAATCTTCTCCCATATTATCACCCAGACAACAACCACGAGCACACTGACTTTCCCAGTGCCTATCATCATGTACCAAACAGCACCAAAGGCTCTCTCTCTCTCTCACCCAGTGGGAACCAGTCTCCTCCTACACCATTATCACAGCAACATTCAACACAAAACTAAGGAAGGAAGGAAGGAAAGTCACAATCATACAATGCAACACTACGCACATACACTACAAATAATCCACATCAACAGAAGAAGAAGAAGAAGCAATTATACACACAACTCCATTCACTACTAGACAACACCCCACTCCACTTGGCAACATCAAAATCCATTCTAATCGGTGACATGAATGACAAACTCGGAGCGGACAACACAGGAACAGAACTCATTAAGGGTAGAGAAGCACTCGTTCGTGAAATGAATGAGAATGGAGAACTGTTTGCAGATTTCTGCACACTCAACGACTTCGTGATTACAGGCACCCTGTACAAACACAAGCATATTCACAAGGCAGCCACATCGATTCCATTTCACCAGACATCAGGACACTCTCTACACTAAAAATCAGATCGACTTCATCTCAATCTGAGCAATGTGGAGACGCAGCCTACTCGACACAACATCACATCTCAACAAGGGGAGCACATGTAGCCTCACACCTTCAAAATCAACTTCAAAGCCTTCAAACAACCTGGTGATGACAGACCACAGTTCAAGTTCAACACCAACAACACAAACTGAACTGAACTGAAGGACGAAACTACAAACAACATCTTCACGTGGTCAGCCATCACAACAAAATAGGAGACGACGTTGAGCAACACATCCACAAATCATCGAAAGTGGAAGAACACTGGAACTCTTTGAAACCTATGTGGAAAGAAACCTGTATAACCGAATCATGAAAGAAGAAGAAGAAGAAGAAGACGACGACGACGAGGAAGGACAAGGAATGAATCTCGACAGACACATGGAAGCTGACAGAACAGGGAGAGGAGGATGGTGGAGCAGAAGATGAACCAGCGCACTGCAGGCATCAACAACCAGAAGACGAACTGAACACAACCTACAAAACTCTACACTCGACAAACAAGTGAACAAGACTGCACACAAAAACACTAGACACTTCTACGACACATTGGAAACTGAAGCAGAACAGGCTGCAGGTAGCAGACACACAGACCTGACAACATTATATCAAATAACCAGCTTACTACCTCGGAGGGAAGAGATCAACGCACACGATAACAATGAAAGATAGTCAACGAAACCTAGTTACCACCAAACAGGAGAAACTAAGCAAACAATGCATTGACCAATTCAAAAAACTCTTCAATCAACCATCACCACCACCTGCAACTCGTCCACAAATACTACCAGCAGCACTGCCACACAACTACCAGTGAACATATGCCCTCCGACAAAAACAGAAGTGAAATCCTGAATGCCATAAAAATGCTGAAATCCAGTAAAACAAACAGCAGGACCAGATGCAATTCCTCCAGAAGCACTCAAAACAGACACAGAGACAACAGTCGACATCCTCACACCACTACTGTACAAGCTTTAGAAGGAAGGAAACGTACCTACCTGCCTGACGATTGGAAGAAGGTCTAACTTGTCAGCAGACAACTAAACAAGGGAGACACGAGTGTTTGCAAGAACAAGCAAAGAATCACGCTGCTCTCCACCAACAGCAAGCAAAATATTATGCCACATCATCCTGGACAAAGACGAATGGATGCGCTGGATTCAAAATTACAACAAGAACAGACTGGCTGGCTGGCTGGCTGGCTGGCTGGCTGGCTGGCTGGCTGGCTGGCTGGCTGGCTGGCTGGCTGGCTGGCTGGCTGGCTGGCTGGCTGGCTGGCTGGCTGGCTGGCTGGCTGGCTGGCTGGCTGGCTGGCTGGCTGGATTCACCAAAACAAATCATGTCCGGATCAAATTCCAACACTACGCTACTCATCATCATTCAACAGAACATAGAATGACACTCAACTCAACTCAACTCAACTCTCTACCTCCCTCTACTTCATCGACTTTCAAAAGGCCTTCGACAGCATCGACCGACAAGTCATTTGGCAGACAGTGGCTTCAACACAACGGTTTCAGTGCCACAAATCTTTATCAACCTCATCCAACAACTATATTACAGACGCAACATACCAAGTGATCCACAACGGAAAGCTCAGTGACACCTTTGAAGTGAACACAAGAGACAGGAGTAAGACAAGACTTCCACCCACTATCACCCATCATCTTCCTGATTGTCGTCAACTGAACCGGATCAGGCAGCAAACTGTCAGGAGTGGGAAGATGGGCATACACTGGCTGGACCGATGAAAACACACCAGGAGAAGATTTGGATTTCACCACCGACGATGGTTTAATTCGAAAGTCTTGTTGTACAAACTCGAAGATCTATAGGCGAAAAATAACAAAATGACAGAATAGGCAGGGCAGAGAAGACGGGCCTCTCTCAGGTGAACGTAGAGAAGACGGAAGTGATGAAAATACCCAACCACCACCACCAGCGCTGCACTCCACTCAGCATATAGCGTGAACAAGATCCAAATTCTCAACACTAACGTTTACTCAGTGCTTCTCAATGGTTCAGAAACTTGGCGAGTCACGAAAAGCACCTCCAACAAACTACAGATATTCATCAACAGATGCCATCTACGCTGCATCCATACTGAACATCAGATCAGATGGCCAGAATAATAAGAATAACCAACAAGCAACTCTGGCTGGCAACAAACCAACCAACAACCTATCACCCAACAACTGTGGAGAAGAATAAAGTGGAGATCGATTGTATTGGACATACACTGAGAAGGCCGATTGGGGATATCACGCGCCAGAGCAGGCTAGGCAGTCAAGTGGAATCCAAAGGGGAAACGATGAGTTGGGCGTCCGAGTTGAGGGTGACATGGCGGGGATCATGTGAGGAAGAAATGAAAGCTTGTGGGCAGTCGTGGTCGCAGGTTGAAAAGACTGCAGAGAAGAGAGTGAAATGGAGGTGTGCTACTGAAGCCCTATGTTCCACTAGGAACCCAAGGTAAAAATAGGTATCATAATAATCTCATTGAACAACTTCATGTGTTGTTGTACTATGCAACTGAAATATCGAACAGGAAACCCCTCTACTAAACTATAAGACAAAGACGTATGATTGATGAAATTTACTTCTGAATGATTTCATTTACAAAAGCGGTACAATTGTATTTATATTCATTGGAAACAAATAGCGGTCTTCTTTGAATCAGTAGAGAGGATCACGTAATCATCAACAGGTTCAAAAGTAGAATAAGAATACTGTTTCTGAAGACACAAGGAAATAACTACCCTGACCACAGTTAAACTAATCACTGCATATAATATTTTTAGACACAAAGATCAGATTTACGCTTATGAATTTCCAATGATTCTGGTGGCTGTGTACAGATGATGCAGTCAAAAGCCAATGAAATTTTAGGCGGAAACTCTGTAAATTATTTTGAAGCAACTACTAAGAGGATCAAGATGAAATTTTAGGCGGAAACTCTGTAAATTATTTTGAAGCAACTACTAAGAGGATCAAGATGTTCAAAGATGCTGACGTTTTCAGAAATAAGACTCTTAATATTCCCTCTCTTATCTGCATGATCAAACTGAAAGATATTTCAATATTAGATTATAGGTAGGAAAGTACAGCTTTAGTAAATGCAGTCATTGAAAAGAAAATCTTCGGTATAACATTTTTGTTCAGCAAAGACAAGTCATCCCTTCTTTACCTGCCATTTAATTTATTTGAAGTATTTACGCCGAATAAAAATCATTCCTACAATCACAGTTCAAACGGCGTCGTTTGATATTTCCATACTTCAGTGTGAAACGAAAACATAATGGAGGGAACGTTTGTTTGTGAAAACCTGGAGCTCCTCACTGGTGTTATGTATATCAGTCTTATAAACTTGTTTAATTGCAAGTTGATGAGTGATTTGATAGTAGTCTACGAAAATATTCAGTCGTTTAGGTCAAAAAATCGTGGAGCTGGCTCAAGGTCAAAGCCAAAACAACAAACTTAACTTCGCGTCACTCTATCATTCTGTGAATCAATTATTAACAGATAACAGCCAGCAGCATCTCCTTCAATGACGCTCCATTACGTATCTATCTTTTTGTGCGCTTTGTTTAATATCACAGTGGGATTTCAAATTTTTTGTATCAGCGTGTGAAACTTATTAACATGCGATTCTCTTATGATCATTAATATGTCTACATACATTTAATATACTACGCTTTAGAAGTGAATACCGGAAAGGAACATTTTGACTGTTGCTCCTATGATGCATACTTGCACGTCTGTCGTCTGTCATTATGGCAACTTTCTTGACTTAACCACACGAGAAACTCAGTAAGAAAGTAATCTGCAGAAGAGTGTATAAGCGGTGGGATCGATCACAGTGAGAAAATGATGCTAACTTCTAATCATATAATTAACCTTTTACATCAAGATAGCATTCATCATGGACTGACACCAGTTGCATAATCATTGGAAACCTAGAAGCACTAGACAGCTGTTTTGTCCGGTATGAGACACTACCCCGTCAGGGATTAGATTTACCACCTTCGGGTCCCACAGCCAATGGGTTAATCATTGGGGGACTGGATTGGAGTTCAACAGACCACAGTTTCCTAGTTCTGTCGATTTCTGATATACTGCGATTATCCATCAGTCTTCAATTGGCATCCGCTTCACTTTTAACTGTTTCATCTCCCCCCCCCCTCCACACCCACACACACACACACACACACACAAAAGTCACAGCTTCTCATTACAACTTCGGGATATCCGTCTCGAAGCATGTCACACTAATGAACACTTGACAGTAATTAGGATGTGAGGTATATAGGAATTTCATTTATTCTTGTCTATTGCAGAAATAAAATGCTTTCTTCGAAATTCAGTGAATTTAGTACATATATACAAATAAACGTAAACAAGTGTTAAAGGTCATATCATTTTATTCTTTTTATCAAATCAAATGTCTTCAGGTAAACGGCGAAATGCTATTCAGTTAACATTTTTGTGTTCAAATTTAATAAAAAAGTATCACTGTATCCTTAAGGTAATTCATATTCTTACCAAGCATTTTCACAAGTTTAGAATTTACTCTGCCTTCCAATTTACGTATCCCCTCACAGGGGGCATCTGACGTAAATTTGCTTTCATCGCTGAGAATAGATAACATGTTGGTATGAATTTAATCAATAAGGAGGAATTTAATCGTCTAAAACCTATGGGATCTGAAAATTCATATTCTGTTCGACAATGAAAACTCACTCTGTCGTGTTGAATTGAAATCTCTTAACCACGTTACTTAAAACTTTAACCTCCAACTTCCCAATTGTTAATATGGTAGGTAGTTTCTTCACATATAAGCATTTATACGGATGCTATAGTGACTTTATAGCTGAAGCCTTCTAATTTTAACCAATTACCTTTAAAGGCAACATCCAACATGTATGCAGTTGAATGGAGCGAAATGTCGCGTAAACAAACAATTGGAAACGTATTTCTAACTGGTATTATTAACAGATGGCTAGAACACACACACACATACACACAATTACACAAAAGCAATGAACTGAAAATATGTTGGCAAACAACGCAAAGGAGGTAACCACTGGTTTTCAGGTAAAATGATGATTTTCCAGCTGTTCCTTTTAACCCTTCATATTTCTTACAGCCTTTATATAAGTTGACGAGAATTCATACCCCCAAAAAAAGGTTATATGACGGATATTTCCTATGTATGCTAGAAATAATAAGACACCACTTGCAGTAAACGTTGACAGATTTCACTATGAAGGCCAAGATCACAAGTTAGCTCTCTTTACAGACTTCTATAATAGAATCCCAAATACCTAAACAACAACGGTTAAACAAAAATTCTCCGAATAAATATGCATGGATTCACTAAACGGTATTTACGTCAGCTATATGTGTATCACCCGATGCTCCTCCAATCTTCAGTTTCAGAATCCTAAGAACGACCTTCTCATATTGGTTAATATTAAAGATTTAAAATAATATATACGCATCATCAAAAGAAACACCCTATTCCGTAAGCCTTTAACTTACAAAGATCCTCCAGGCAAATTATCGACTGCTTCAACCATTTGTAGAGAATCACAATCTAAACAGAGAAAAGTGCAATGAATAAAATTTACTACCAACAATGAACAAAAGCATAGATTTACATTGAAATCCTACACTAATTGTGACTTCTGTTTTTATAAAAGACCAGGAGCTCTAGCAACAAACGTCAATTAAACTTGCTTCACATTCAGTGACTGACTGACTGACTGACTGACAGAATCAACGTAGAACCTCACACACAAGTGCATCTTCCGAAATTTTCGCACTTCACAGTAGTATATAAATAACAGGTGGAGAGAAAAGGATTGATATCAGAGTAGATCAAATTGTATGTCAGAACAATCTGAGGATAAAGGTCAGTGTGAATATTCAAGCTTTAGAAGATAACAAGGAGTGAATACATCTGAGATATTGTGATCAATTTTCAGCCATGTTACCAAGTATCATGAACAGCTGATTCCTTTCGTTTTGAGGACCTCCTTCGCATTTAGTACAATGATATGTCTCATCAGAAAACTAAAGAACGTCATAAAAAAAAACTTAGACTTTTATCTACAGGTGGATACAGACCGAGATCCCGTTACCCACCTTGTACTTATTATCAGTAAAATCTTCCGAGAAGGGTGAATAAGATAATACTCTCTCTTTTATCTAAACTCATACCATCCAGCATTACATTCAAACATATCTCCATCGAGCTAGTAGTGTACAGGGGAAAAACCAAGTATAACATCATTGATATGAATCACTTATCAGGTCTTATTAACCATCGGTAATCACAGGTGTAAATAAAACTCCCAGTATATAAACACGTTTTAAAGAAAACACAAAATGAAGTAATTACAACAATTACATAATATGTAATATAACTCCACTTACTCTGGGAGAGATTATTATTCAGTGGGTCAAAATTTAGCATAATTGAATTGTCACATTTTGGATGATGTACTTCAGTCTAAAATTAATCATAAGTAGAGTAATGTATTGAACGAAAAGTAAAATCATAATGATCACAACGAAAAATGAGAGAAAAAAACGACTGGTTATCGCTTTGGACTCTAGTTGAGAGATTGATATGCTAGGAGTACGATTGTGCCTAACATTTACAGTTCTCAAGTTTCAAGATAAAGAATATAAACAAACTGAGGATGTTACCATGGGATCACTAATATCCCCTATCGTCGCAGACATATTTATGGATAGCTGGGAACAGATGGCCGTTCCCACCCCAAAAATATGGTTGAGATATGCATATAATACATTTACAGTACTGAAATCGGAACACACCAATAGGTTCTTGGCACATATAAATTCAGTAGTGAATACAATCCAATTTACTTGTGACTTAGAAAGTGATGAAGATGAACTAGCAATGTTGGATTGCAAGTTTAATGAAAATAAGATGGAAGTTTAGGGACTAGTATCTATAGGAAACCTTTCAATTCAAATAGCTACTTAGACTTCAAATCATCTCACCCCATCTAAGTTTAAGTAGGCTTGGTTAAATGTCGAAGTAATATGGCAAAAAAGACTATTAGTCGCACAGAAAATTTACGAGAATTTAGATAAATAAAGAACACTTTGTGTCCCAGTATTTACCCACCTAAGTTTATAAATAAATTCATGAGAAATCGAAAGAAAAATATTGGCAGTAGTAGTAATACAGGTGTTACTATTAATAATTCTACTCACCAATAGTAATAATAGTGACAGGGTTGAGAAAGAATTCAAGGTCTCTGCTACGTTACCCTACAAAGAAGGCAACTCAGAAGCACTAAGAAAAATTCTTAATAAGACTGTTGGGATTAAAGTGGTCAGCATTTAAACCAACAAACGCGCTAGAAACAAGCTTTGTCGGTTAAAAGACCCCAACGATGCAATTAAGATTAGTTATCGCCTTTTAACGAAAGTCGAAAATACCACTGTAGTTTTCAATTTTAAGCAGTTTGTAAGATTTTTTCTAGTAGATCCAAACAACCACTACCTGAAAACATTACCAAATATTCCATAGAAATATTGTTCCTGTGGAAGGATAACAAGAAGTTACACGCTGTACACTGACTCAAACACTTCATTTTCATCGTATCAGTCAGACTACTCAACTCTATCATATTCATCAATTTTGATGTACACTTACCTATCCAAACAGTGTGTACAGTATCCAAATAAATTCGATAAACTAATATTAGATTCAGTGGTTTAAGTATAACGTCACTAGCTTTCATCACAAATTGACATCAGAGTTAAAGAACCAATGAAGACTTGGTAGAACATTAGTTGAATAATATTTTACTGACTGATCATTGATGGTTAACTTCTAGATAGATTTCCTCAACGTTTCTCAACATTCATTGGATCAATAACCAAAATAGAAATAAAGCCAAATGCTTATTCATAACATTGAATGCCAGTCACACTACTACTACTATGGTTAACAAAAGGTCGAAAGTATACACTATTCCATTACAATCAGATGCTAAGACGACAGTCACCTCCTCCTCATAGGTAAAGTGACCATCATATGCTGTTCCTTATCGACTTTGCATCAATTTGTGAGTGTACACAATTCAGAAGTCACAATATATGACCAAACAGTTGCCAAATAGACTTCAGTCTTCTCTTCAGTTGTTCCCTCATCATCATCATCATTATCAACATAGGACCAGGCATTACTGCCTCACAGTCCGAGTTGCCACACCTCATATCAGCACATCAAGTAAAAAGGTAGTGAGGTGAAGGATGAAGATAAGTGAATGCAGTCAAAAGAAATATAAAGTATGAGAAGAAAGGAAAGAGGAGTGACAAAATAGTGAGATTCGGTATAGCGTTGTTAAGATGAGATAATGTGTGTATACATCTGCGCCACTGACTTCGGTTCTCAGCCATATCACCTAGGGTCTCCAACCAGTTGTTCCCTAACCTGCAAAAAATCCATCATGAAAACTACCTTCATATTTCTTATTCTACAATATTTCACTACTCTTCTACAACAAAGTATGATAACATTTCTTAAGATGAAATAGGTAATTATTTCTAGTCAAACAAAAGGATTACAAATACATGACATAAGAATGATTGGTTTGCTTTGGTACAAGGTTTCGTTTATAGCATAACATGGACTGTGATACCAAGGGAAACAGAATAAGAAACCAGAAAGTCAAATGCCGTATTTGCAGCCTTTCATAGGTACATATTATCAATACCTGATGTGATCAAATACACAAAACACACATATATCTCATATGAATACCGTGAAACACGCCTGATGATGACCTTATTTTAAGAATAGAATAGAATAGAATAGAATAGAATAAACAACACAGTTATTGATTTCATCCATATATATTACAACAGACTAGGAAACAGAAATTGTTGGAACTTGTAAAACTAAAAAACTAGAAAGCTATCCAATGCTTTCCAGTTTCTATCGGTTTTTCAGACAGATTATAGTATTTTACAGTGGAAGCTATATAAAAATAAGAAGTTTATATCCCTTAGTCACACGATGAAACAGAAGAGTGAGTAAACTCAAACCCTATGACACTGCATTGTCTCAATAAATTCAGTTAATCACTAGCACGCTTTTTCCATGATATCTGCTTCAGCCTTTGTCTGTCATTCATTCTTATTACTTCCCCCCATCGGTAGATCGAAAATGTTTCACTACTACTAAACCATATCATCAATCCATCAACACCTTCACTTATCATCTCACTGATTCAATTTCCTTCCATTACGATGAGAAGATCAGATTGCGCACACAGTATCACGACGAACCGGCATTCACAGATCAATTATCCACTTCGAAACTGAAAAACTTAATTCATTAGCAGTTAGGTATAGTATTATAGTTCAGTCACCACATTGCCATGCATATGAACCTATCGGAAACTGTTTCCATTCCTCTTTCCATCTAAACTTTCTCAATTTACAACTATCATCTTCCATTAAATCATAATATTATTTGTACCGTGAATCCTTCCATTTGAACAGAGTAAACCACTTTTAAAACGATTAAAATAACCAACACCCTATAAAAAATGTCTCACTTTCTTGTTGATTAACTCCTGCTCTTTTAATATATCCAAAAAACCATAATCATTTCTTGAACAGACATCAACCTCGTTATTCACTTCACATTGCATATCCATGATGTCTTCACCTAAAGATATACAATAATTTATTCTTTTTCACACACGTAATTCATTCATCAAATGTTAATTATGTAGCACAAAAATCACAAATTTTCGACTTCATCCCATTGACGGCATATGTGTCAGTCAACTAGACAATGAGACATAACTGCTGCATGACAGTTACTGCGACTACCTAACTGACAACTAGATGAAGCGGCGTTCTCACCAGCTGACTAGAAGTCGAATACATACGCAAATATTACACAACATTATCTTAACCAAAACTGCTTATAGTTTGTCTCATTCAAACGTGTAGTAAAACACAAATGCAATTAAAAAGACACTGTTAGTATTCAGACAGTCAGCTGAACGCTTCGACAACCATTCATTTATCTATAATATACATGCAGTATGTTTCTAATGTTCAGGTTGATATACAAGTCCGAAGGAGCTTTTGCTTAACTCGACTCTACTTTTGTAGTACTTCTCTTTAAAGTATCATTCAAACATGCTGTTTATCACTGTCTAAGAAAGTTAACTAGTCAGCTCAGCTCATAAAATCCATAAACTGATTGACACCAACCTAACACTAAACTACTGCTTAAGAATAAAAACCCTAGAGTTGAACAACTTGGAGTCTAGTAACAGATATCAATCATTGATTACATCTTTGCTGTACAGTTGGTTCAAGAATATACATACATTTGCTGATAATCTATCATGTTCTACAACTCAAATATTCATATTGTACTTGATTCCCATCGATGATCAAGATGTTTGATGACACTGTTTCATATCGATAAATCAATCAACTAAAACACTTCACTTTTTACTTCTTCATTACTCTTTTCATTACGAATTTACGACTAAGGTCGATGATATTTCAAGAAAAAAATACGGTTTCATTAACTTGTATCAACTTCATCGACTTTAGGAATATAAGATGATATTTAGTTGTTTTCATCGACGGTATACTCATACAAAACCGATGATGGTGAACTTACATCATATAACAAGATTACAGACATTGAACCATTGATAACACAGAAACCAACTTTGATCATGCTTCAAGAATGTTGAAGTGAAGCATGATGTTACTTACAGAAGGTAAAATCACTTGTAAAAACTATGAACTTTCTCCTACCAAAAGCCTTTAAACAAGCATTACTCATATCATGTTAAAGCCTAGTTCAATAACTTTTTATGATCATTATTATGTATTATTTGAAACTCTAACTCTTCACAACGTGGCCTGAAATTGATGAGAACAGGTTTCACAGATGTAGTGCTGAATTGCCTATACCTCCTGCAATAAGAATAGCATCACTATGGCTGCAAAGCTGATGTAGACTGTCACATACCTCTCTGGATTTGGATATACGGCTGATAATCTAATCAACTACACTATCATCACAATCCACACACAATCGGCGACAACCGATCACCTGACAACTGAGTAACCAGCATACCGTGACATCACCCGCACACTCGTAGTCTAAAGTCTTTCACATGGTAACACTTCTATACCGCCAAAAACGTGAACTTCCATCACAAATAACTGTAAAATATCATGCGCCATAATTAAAGGAGACATCGTGAAATGGAACAATGAAGAGAGATGTTAATATGCCCTCACTCCACCTGACAGCTGCCACAATTTCAACAAACATCTCAGAGACATCCCTCTAGAATAGACAACTTCACAGCACAGCCCAATCATCCAACAAATCAGAAACAGTATTACCATTAAAAAAAAACGTTCATATGAAATACATCTGACCATGTTCAAACTCTAGGCGTAAGGTGAACGTGTGAAAAATTCATCAATGACATGAACTTAACCCAATCTATTCTGCATGAAATTTTTTTCAAAACGTTCAAACAAAGAAAGCATCAACAATAAGCACCAATCACCATCAATTGGAGAAGTTCAAAGGAGGTTGTCTCTTACACCTACACTTACTCAGGCAGCATCATCTCAACTACTACCGGCACACGCACACACGAGATTGTCAAAATTAGGATCGGAAAGACAGCAAGACAGCTATCAGTGTGGAGATCTACTGCACTCCATCAGCACGAAGAACAAGATCTGGATTCTCAACACCAATTCAGTCAAGTCAGTGCTGCTATGTGGTTCAGAAACTTGGTGCGTTTATAACCTTAAGGAGACACCATTCAAAACCGATTACAAAGATACTGTGTTTAGAGTGAAATTCTGCTTCAGCGTTTCACTCATTCCTTCTAAGATACAACAAACACTTCAGTGAACACAGATCTTAAACTATATACATAAACTGTATAAAAAATCAACAAGTACCTCTTAAAATCAAAGACCGAAACCTACCCCGTAGTGAATTCTTCTCATCAGACAGTAGATGAACACTTTCTGATGAAACGGTGTTATCCTCACTGAAGTAAAAGATAAAAACTCAGGTTATTGATAGAACGACTATTCAAAGGAAAGGAAATAAACATTAAAAAATATTATCATTTACGAGTTTATCACAGAGCTAACGACTAACCTCTTGCACAACCTTCAATTACGTGCACATATAGACTGATTGTTCGCACTTGTAATTGAAGGAGAACAATTGTATGAAATCACACACTAAGAAGAATTAGGAGATGATAAAATGTATACATAATTGGGAGGATAAAAAGCGAATACAACTGCTGCCATAAATGTTTCGTCAGTTGAAAGATACCAGTAATCAAAAATGTTAACCGATTTAAAAGGGGGAAAATGTTAACACACTGACATTCGGCTACCACAATTATTACCAAAAAGGACTGACAGTAAGTCGTAGAGAATTCTATATGATGTCATTTTTAGAAGAATAACGAAGGCGATAGCTACTCACCAACCATGTAAGTATCAAAAACATCTGTAGTGCGACGCCTAATAAAACTACACAGTTCCTCACACGTCTGTATGCCGAGCACAGTTCAACCTACTGAAAGTCAAACTTCACTCACCAATTAAGTACACATTCGTGCAGTAGGCAATCAGCCACACCTATTGCACGACAGCTAAGGATACTTACTAGCTGGTTGACCAAACCTAAATAGGTAGATGGAGAGCGTTTCAAACCCACGACCCATCAATTAGAAGTCGATAGCCTAAACCAATGAGCTACAGCTCCAGTCATTACACAAAAATATAAAACTAATTGCATGAATAGATTGAAAATTATTCCCTCTTTTACTGTAGGCTAATTTTTCATTTATCTACTTCTACACCAAGAAAGTAAAACTGAGCATCAAGAAAATCAGTCGCTACAATTTGCAACAACGCCAAGCAACACAGAAATTATCAAGAAGGAGCCCCCAACAGTTCCAAAGAAGATGCAATTTAAGAATATTGGATTTGAAGGAGATGCAATGGAAGAGATACAAAAGAATTGATTGTGCGAAGCCCTGAAGACCTTCTTTTCTGCCAAACCTCAAATTTTCCCACTCAACTCATTCAGGATGTGAAAAGGACAAACTACAGCATTGGGCCACATCTGTGTATGCTTAACAAGCCACATGCTCTTATTAGACTGGTTACATAGGACGCTTAGTGCATTATTATTATTTTTTTTTTCCTACGGGTTCCTAGTGGAACATAGGGTTTCAGTAGCACACCTCCATTGCACTCTCTTCTCTGCAGTCTTTTCAACCTCGCTCCACTACTGACCACAAACTTTCACTTCTTCCTCACATGATCTCCTCTATGTCACCCTCGACTCGGACGCCCAACTCATCGTTTCCCCTTTGGATTCCACTTGACTGCCTAGCCTGCTCTGGCGCGTGATGTCCACAATCGGCCTTCTCAGTGTATGCCCAATACAATCCATCTCCACTTTCTTCTTCTCCACAGTTGTTGGGTGATAGGTTGTTGGTTGGTTTGTTGCCAGCCAGAGTTGCTTGTTGGTTATTCTTATTATTCTGGCCATCTGATCTGATGTTCAGTATGGATGCAGCGTAGGTGGTATCTGTTGATAAATATCTGTTTGTTGGAAGTGCCTTTCGTGAAGCGCCAACCACATAGCAGCACTGACTTGACTGAATTGGTGTTGAGAATCCAGATCTTGTTCTTCGTGCTGATGGAGTGCAGTAGATCTCCACACTGATAGCTGTCTTGCTGTCTTTCCGATCCTAATTTTGACAACCTCGTGTGTGCATGTGCCGGTAGTAGTTGAGATGATACAGCCTGAGTAAGTGTAGGTGTAAGAGACAACCTCCTTTGAACTTCTCCAATTGATGGTGATTGGTGCTTATTGTTGATGCTGTTGTTGGTTGGGTATCTTCATCACCTCCGTCTTCTCTACGTTCACCTGAGAGAGGCCCGTCTTCTCTGCCCTGCCTATTCTGTCATTTTGTTATTTTTCGCCTATAGATCTTCGAGTTTGTACAACAAGACTTTCGAACTAAACCATCATCGGTGGTGAAATCCAAATCTTCTCCTGGTGTCTTTTCATCGGTCCAGCCAGTGTATGCCCATCCCCTCACTCCTGACAGTTTGCTGCCTGATCCGTTCAGTCGACGACAATCAGGAAGATGATGGGTGATAGTGGGTGGAAGTCTTGTCTTACTCCTGTCTCTTGTGTTCACTTCAAAGGTGTCACTGAGCTTTCCATTGTGGATCACTTGGTATGTTGCGTCTGTAATATAGTTGTTGAATGAGGTCGATAAAGATTTGTGGCACTGAAACCGTTGTGTTGAAGCCACTGTCTGCCAAATGACTTGTCGGTGGACGCTGTCGAAGGCCTTTTGAAATTCGATGAAGTAGAGAGAGGTAGAGAGTTGAGTTGAGTTGAGTGTCATTCTATGTTCCGTTGAATGATGATGCGTAGCGTAGTGTTGGAATTTGATCCGGACATGATTTGTTTTTGGTGAATCCAGCCAGCCAGCCAGTCTGTTCTGTCGTAATTTTGAATCCAGCGCATCCATTCGTCTTTGTCCAGGATGATGTGGCATAATATTTTGCTTGCTGTTGGTGGAGAGCAGCGTGATTCTTCGCTTGTTCTTGCAAACACTCGTGTCTCCCTTGTTTAGTTGTCTGCTGACAAGTTAGACCTTCTTCCAATCGTCAGGCAGGTAGGTACGTTTCTTCCTCTAAGCTTGTACAGTAGTGGTGTGAGGATGTCGACTGTTGTCTCTGTGTCTGTTTTGAGTGCTTCTGGAGGAATTGCATCTGGTCCTGCTGTTTGTTTTACTGGATTTCAGCATTTTTATGGCATTCAGGATTTCACTTGTTTTTGTCGTAGGGCATATGTTCACTGGTAGTTGTGTGGCTGTGCTGCTGGTAGTATTTGTGGACGAGTTGCAGGTGGTGGTGATGTTGGTGTTGTTGGCTGATTGAAGAGTTTTTTGAATTGGTCAATGCATTGTTTGCTTAGTTTTTGTGTGCAGTCTTGTTCACTTGTTTGTCGAGTGTAGAGTTTTGTAGGTTGTGTTCAGTTGCTCCACTGGTTGTTGATGCCTGCAGTGCACTGGTTCATCTTCTGCTCCACCATCCTCCTCTCCCTGCTCTATCAGCTTCCATGTGTCTGTCGAGATTCATTCCTTGTCCTTCGTCGTCTTCTTCTTCTTCTTCTTCTTTCATGATTCGGTTATACAGGTTTCTTTCCACATAGGTTTCAAAGAGTTCCAGTGTTCTTCCACTTTCGATGATTTGTGGATGTGTTGCTCAACGTCGTCTCCTATTTTGTTGTGATAGCTGACCACGTGAAGATGTTGTTTGTAGTTTCGTCCTTCAGTTCAGTTCAGTTTGTGTTGTTGGTGTTGTGTTGGTGTTGAACTTGAACTGTGGTCTGTCATCACCAGGTTGTTTGAAGGCTTTGAAGTTGATTTTGAAGGTGTGAGGCTACATGTGCTCCCCTTGTTGAGATGTGATGTTGTGTCGAGTAGGCTGCGTCTCCACATTGCTCAGATTGAGATGAAGTCGATCTGATTTTTAGTGTAGAGAGTGTCCTGATGTCTGGTGAAATGGAATCGATGTGGCTGCCTTGTGAATATGCTTGTGTTTGTACAGGGTGCCTGTAATCACGAAGTCGTTGAGTGTGCAGAAATCTGCAAACAGTTCTCCATTCTCATTCATTTCACGAACGAGTGCTTCTCTACCCTTAATGAGTTCTGTTCCTGTGTTGTCCGCTCCGAGTTTGTCATTCATGTCACCGATTAGAATGGATTTTGATGTTGCCAAGTGGAGTGGGGTGTTGTCTAGTAGTGAATGGAGTTGTGTGTAGAATTGCTTCTTCTTCTGTTGATGTGGATTATTTGTAGTGTATGTGCGTAGTGTTGCATTGTATGATTGTGACTTTCCTTCCTTCCTTCCTTAGTTTTGTGTTGAATGTTGCTGTGATAATGGTGTAGGAGGAGACTGGTTCCCACTGGCTCAGAGAGAGAGAGAGCCTTTGGTGCTGTTTGGTACATGATGATAGGCACTGGGAAAGTCAGTGTGCTCGTGGTTGTTGTCTGGGTGATAATATGGGAGAAGATTATTGACAGTTCAGTTGACAGTTAGGAGAGTGCACTTGCATTCCATCTGCAGATTCCTCGAAGATTCCTATCCTATCACTTGCATGCCATACCTCATCATGTGTTTCTCAATTGGGTAGCCTTTTAAGGTTCATACATGGTGTGGACATTGTATGTCCCGAATCTTACTTTCGCTTAGTGTGTTGTATCGTAACTGACGTAATAGCACAATCATGCATGGCTGTCTAAAGAGTACAGAACGATAAACAGCTCGACTCTTGAACATCTGCTTAACTGCGGTCACTCTGCTTCATCAGAATCTTCCTCGAAATTCATTAATGAGGTCAAGTCAAACATTTCGAAAGGAGAGCGAATTTACCACCTCAACACAGCAGAAGGCTCGACAACTCAACCAAGATCTCTGCTTTCAAAAGAGTTACGTTCAATCTCTAATTATACACAGGACACTTTGATGACCTTGTGCTGACGTTCTATTGACAATTTTCGATAACACTGTATTGACCCATTAGCTACTGATGGACATATCTTTTATTGAAATGTAAATACAACTGTACAGCCTCTGAAAATGATTCGTAGCAACGGATATTTTCTCCACGGAGTTGTCTTTTTTATAAACTATCAATTTTGCTTATGCAAGTAAAGGTGTAACTGAGGTTAACGTGCCAACACTCGCATTCATACGAACAAGGAAGAGGTCATTAGATTATGACACAGAATCGTGCAATAAATTATAGCGATATCAGGTTTATATATATAATCCCATTAGAGTGGATGAATCTCCCCAACTAGACTAGTCAACGCATTTCACTGCATCCATTCCTATTCTCAAAATAAGAGTACCTGCAAACGAGTCATGAAGTACACTCTCACATTTGATAGGTGTCAAACGCATAACAAACATGCCAAGATTTATGCTCAGAGAC